CATGTTAACCCCTTCCTGCCCAGTGCCATTAGTACAGTGTCAGCGCTTTTTATTAGCACCGATCCCACTATAAGTTGCTGATTGCCACCATTACTAGTAAAAAAAAAAAGAAATTCCAGTATATATACCGCCATTTGTAAATGCTATAACTTTCACATAACCAATTAATTTACACGTATTGGGCTTTTTCTTTAGCAAAGCTATGTAGCAGAATACCTTTTTTACCTAAATTTATTACAACATTTGATTTTTTGATTTTTTTTACTGAACTTGTTCAATAGCAAAAAGTAAAAAATATAGTTTTTGTTTTAAAATTGTTGGTATTTTTTGGTTATAGCACAAAAAATAAAAAAAATGCACAGGAGATAAAATACCACCAAAATAAAGCTCTATTTGTGTGAAAAAAGGACGTAAATTTCATTTGGGTGCAGCATTGCATGACCATGCAAATGTCAGTTAAAGTAACGCAGCGCTGTATCACAAAAAATGGCCTGGTAAGGAAGGGGGATAAATCCTCTGGAGGGCCAGTGGTTATTTTGTATTCTCTGCTGTGGTTATTTTTTGGCATTGTGGTTGGAGGATAGGAAATTATGGTACATTTCTCTAATCAAGCCCCAGATAGAAATAAAAAACCTTACAGGATTTCTGACTTTCACATTCTATCCAAAGCTAAGAAAAAAAAAGGTTTTGGATGGACATATACTTTAAGCACTGTGTATAGACATGTCCAGCATAATCAGTAATTAGCATGTTACTAACAATAATGAAAATTAATTTCAACTAACTTAGGAGAATTTCACAGTTTGGACTGAAACTACTGGTCGCCAAATTTTTAAAGGGCTGTTTGTAACAATTTTCTGTTTTGCTTTTGTACTTTTTGTACTGAAGTAGAAAGAAAACTGCATTATTTATTACATACAGAATAAGAGAATGTTTGTCTGTATATTAATGTTTTCTGCAAAGGTCAGTAACCCATGGAAGGAAACAGTACATCCCAGTTTTCTTTTCTGTCATTTCAGTGACATAAGTTGAAAAACCCTCAGCTGCAGGAAACTTGTACAAAGACAGCCGATTAAAGCATTTGGAAGGGGTACTATTTGCTTTAGGTAATATTTCACATAAATATAGTACCCAACAGCCTTAATTAGCTGACATTCCTTCATTAATTTGACTGATGTCATAGGATGTGACAGTGAAATATAGTTAAACACTAGTCTTTGGAAGAACTGCTGCGTCTTGCCTGGAACATTTTGCTGGAGTAATGAAGCGTTCGATACAAAAGTAGAGACAACTCAGCTTCAAATCTCCGAGACAAAACAGAGCTGCCTGTTGCCTACCAATTAATATACTTTTCCACAAATCATAGTAGAGCTAAAGACCAATGCATTGTAACAGAGTAGATAAGCAGAGAGCATCTGCATGACAGCAAAGCAGGTATGATATATGGCTTCTCAGTGGTCAATGGTATTTTGAGTTATGTAACAGCAAGAATTTGGCTCTAGGTACACAAAGCTAATGGAAAACTGCAAGCTGTAGATAAAATACCTAAAAAATAAATAATAATAATTACATACTATGTATTTACAGTAGCTTCTAACAATGACATTACCATGACTGGTCTCAATGTCCTCCAGGATATGCCATGTAGTGATTTTATTCATAAATTATTAAAGAAAATACTCTTCAATCAAACCAGTTATGAAATGTCAGCAACTTTGCAAGAACCTATGTGCTTGCCCGGTAACAAAAGACATTCACAATAAGTCTTTAAATGCAGATGACCGGTTTAAATATACAATAAAGTCACACAACACGTGACCTTAGCTTAACTGAGATTGACCAAAAAGTTGTAAATGGTAATTGTAGAAGACACATCTCTTAACATACGAATGGCGAGAATACATGCAGAGACAAAAGGAAGCCTTGAACATAGTATCCTTACCAAATAAACTTTATTTACTAAGTAAAGCCTTACATGGAGGTTCATTCATAAGAAGGATATCAGTCTATGCCAGGAATAGTGACACCTATCATTGAACAGAGTCATATGTCTGATGAAAAGTCAACTAAATGTCTAGCAATGGGACATAGACAACAGACAGCTAATCATACATTCTCAAATACACAATCTGTAAATTTTGAAACCCAATTGCAACTCTGGATTTAAAACTAAAAACAGATGACATATATTCAATTGACATGTTCATAATACTATATATATATATATATATATATATATATATATATATATATATATCATGACTCCAAAATCAATTTAATAAAGTTGGAAACTACAAAAGAAAAACATAAAAAGCATAAACTGGATATCATAAAGTCATAATGACATAGGAGATGGATTGTGATTTGAGTAGACCATGTTTGAGATTTTAAAGCAAATGATTACCAACATACGTACCTACATCAGAATGTGGAGAGATATGAAATATCTGACATGATGGACTGAAGTAACAAACAAGCAATAGCTGATAAAATGCCATAACAAATTATGGGAATATTGTCTGAATATTTACCATTCTCAAAACAATGGACAGACATCAAAATATAATTCTCATATAAGGAAGATGAGCCACAAAACCAAATTTAAAATAATGGACATGATATAAAGAGATATTGATAAGAGCCACTTTCATATTTCAGCAGGACATATAATTTTATCAATAAAGCCATACCATCAGCTTGAAGATGACTCATAACCAGTGATCACAATTTCATTCATGGAACATGACTGCCCCTAGTGGACAGGTAAAGAACCTCCAGAATTAATGGCATTCTAGTCCAATCAGCCTACACCATGGGTGGGCCTAGAGAACAATGGGTCTTTACAATTAATATATGCAGGAGGACTCTTGAAGAAAAAAAAAAAAACTCTTGGGGAAAAAATAAACTCTTGGAAAAGACTCTGGGGGAAAAACTACTCTTGAGAACTCTTGAAAAACGCTCTGCTTGAAAAAAACACTCTGCCTTTGAAGACTGCTTTTGAAGAACTTATTTTTGGAAAAAACATTTTGTCAGCTTAAAAGAACCTATTTTTGACCAGAGGAGAACTTTTGTCTGCCCAACCAATTTTTACCTATTTCCTGACGAGAAGAAGACTGCCAATGAGAGATAACATTTTCACTTACCTGCTGTTCCACCAAAATATCTCAGTGAACGCTATATCTGGGAGTGGTGAGAAATTGTATCAAAATCTTTTTATTCATTTAGAATTTACTAGATCCGTAATATTAATATTGTGCTGTAATACTAAGATCGTGCATATATATATATATATATATATATATATATATATATATATATATATATATATATACATATATATATATATGACATTGCAAACCATTGCATTGATTGGATTGATTCAGATTGCATAGTGTATGGATAATTGGTTGCTTAAGGGAATTTCTTTGATTGTGGAATAGAGTTTTATTTTTTTCCTCTATATTGGGTATTGAAATTGTATTGCTTTCTTGGAATATCTGAAGTTTTTTCTGTATATTATATCAAGAATATTTTCCTATTTCCCTTCGGCTGCGGGAATTGGAAATTATATCTTGCGTACTAACAATTGAGATTTACTAACAACTGCAAGATCGTTTTTGTCATTTACGCTGTTGTGATATGTATATTTTACGTTTGACCTATTTGAGATTGAAATTTCTGTGGATTATGTGTAGAAAATACTCATCACCAGAAGATTTGTTCGAATTTAAAAAAAAAAAAAAAAAAAAAATTTATATATATACACACACACACACACACACACACACACACACACACAACACAACAAAAATATTTTTTTAAGTATATACAAATAAATTTTTTATTGATTTATCAAATTGCCGATATTTGTGTATATGGTAAGAAATCACATTGGTGAAAAGAACTCAAGGAAAATTACATTGTGGTGATAAATTTGTTAAGGTGTCCATATTATTAAATCTTATTAATTAAGTTATTTGCCGTAAAGGCTGGAGGCACTGCGTTATTATTGTTTACGGGAGTCGGATACCGCCCAATTTATTTATAATTAATTATCTCAAAAGCACCACAGGTCTAGACCAGGACAGTCATTTGCACTTGTTCATGTGTTTGGTCCAGATTAAAGTGAGTCGACTGATTAGAACAGTACAGTGACTCCGCTGCTTACAATGGTCTCTCAGTAGAGTTCAAAAGCACGTAAATAAATATGAGGCTTCCATATTCTTGGTATTGGTGCAGTTACAGTGGTGGCTTGTCCCTGCAGAAGCAAATTGGATCATGCTCTGCTGGTTTTTTTGCCTTCCTCTGGATCAACTGTGGGTATAGTATTATATTTTTTTTTTTTTTTAATGGTTGAACTGGATGTACTTTTGTTTTTTTTTTCAGCCAAACTATGTAACTATAGCTTGGTGCCCTTATGGGCTTGTAGGTCTGTAAGCTATTTCCTTTCATTGTATATGTGTAGTTATGTTACTGCATTTGGTTTGTTTCCACCCCTGCCTAATCAGTATTAAAGTGGTTCTAAACTCTAATTTTTTTTAACCTTAATATATTTTCTGCATTAGGGTAAAAATACCTTCCAATACTAGTTTCCCTTCAACCCTCTCTCTAAAGTCTGGTATGCATGGACTGAATATCAACCAATATCTGGTACATTCGGCCCATGTATACAACAGAATGTCTGGCTTCTGTCAAACTGCTGGAAAAACAGCTGTTGATTGGCCTTCTGATCAGCACTTGCAGCCAATGGCTGACCAGTGTGTTCCATTTGGGGAGGAGGCAGTCTCCCTGTCAGGACTCAATAGCTCAGCCGGCAGATGGCTGTACTAGCATTGCATAGTTATCACAGCAAAAATTACTTTTTGGTTACTGTTCACATACCGGTTTTAATCGTGATTTCTAATTTTTGAAAACTATTTTTACACAATATTATGTTTTAAAGATGTTGGCGGTATATATACTGGAATTTTTATTTTTTTCTAGGTTAGTAATGGCAGTGATCAGCAACTTATAGCAGGACTGCAGCAGGCACTCTAACACTGGGTGGGAACTAACTGCCACTAACATCCCCAGTGACACTAATACAGTGATCAGTGCTAATAAAAAGCACTGACACTGTGGTAATGACACTGGGCAGGAAGGGGTTAACATCTGCACCGTTCAAAGGGTTAACAGTGTGTTGTGTGCTGTTTTACGTGATGTTCTGTGTGTGTTTTACTACAGAGACATGCTGCGGTGTATTTCTCTGCTGTACAGAGAAATACACAGCATCATGTTTTTGCTGGCAGGAGAAAAACTTGTATTGTTTACACACAGGTCTCTCCCCTGTCAGCTTTGCCCGATGATCACCGGGTGAAGGTGGGTAATCTCTGGCCGGGACCTGGTGATTGACATCCCTAGCCACCAATGGTGGCATGGGTAGGGCAGTGGTAGTATGTGTGCACCCCTACTCAGAAATGCAAATCACATGATTTTGCGCATGCCCTGTAGCAGTAGTTCAACTATAGGGTGGTGGGAAAGCCGTTAAATCTCTGTAGTTCTCAGTCTCTAGATAATACAACCACCTCTGGTTACAATGACCCTTCTCTCTATAACATGACTAGCCCCAATAAGACAATGACTTCACTCTGCAAAGTACCTTTTAGGGTACAAGAACTTTGTACTAAATTTGTCTCTCCAGTGTTGGTGTCTTGACACAGCAGCATGGAAGAGATAAAAAAGAGATAGTCCTAAAATGAAATGCATTTCAGCTAACATAATAAACTGAAAAATGACATTGCAATGTAAATTTCTATTGCATCTAGTCACAGTACATCCCATAACCCTGACAATACTTAAAATAATAATGTCATTTGCAGTTGCAGGCCTCCTTTGGCACCGATTCCATAAATTAGGTTTTCCATAAGCCCTTGAAAGTAATATTTCAGAGAATTGCTAAGTCAGCCCACTGGATTAATGTAACTGCTTCAATTTTTGCAAGGACTATAAATGTCATACAAATTTTGATCGCTTCGGCTGAACCTATTATTTACTTTTTGGATAAATGATGATAAAGTGGTATGCAAACTTTATCTCAGTCAGTGGCATGAAGACAGGTACAAGAAGAAGGTCACAGCAATGCACAGAGAATCAGCGAGGCTGACAAGCAGAGTATTTTCATTAATAGAGTACTCTTTATGCATGGTTCAATGTAATATACAAACATAAAATACAAAGTATAACCACAGTGGTTCGTTCTCTTTATGTTATTTAGCATGAGCCAAAGCATTACTAATGTCATACATGAAGGTTAAGTGTTAATACATAATAAAAACAAATTGACTAATTCAGCATTATTTTTACAAACTAGATACATTTGAACAATCCCACTTGTAATCTGTATATTAACATTCCCCAGCATGATGTTCCATGCTGGGGAAACAATAATAAACATCTTTGCATTGAAAGTCAAGAGCTGGCACTTTGTGTGGCTTGTGGCTTTTATTTCTAGATTTCAGTAATAGCTCTGGTCCTCTAATTAGATTGATGGTCAGCATGTATAAGACCAGCGGGGTCAAACTCAATTTCATTGCAGGCTGCATCAGCAGTATGCATGTCCTCAAAGGGCAAGTTGTATCTGGGCTGTACTACATACAGAGTGCAAGGTTCAGGTGTGCACTATGTACAGGATTTCAGAATTCAGGAGTATGTTACGTACAGAGTGCAAAGTTTAGGGCAGTGGTTCTTAACCTGGTTTCGATCGAACCCCAGGGGTTCGGTGAGTCAGTCTCGCGGGTTCGGCGGAGGTGAAGACCCACACCCGACTCATATGATTCGTGATGACATGCCCCGCTTGTCCATCATTGGCTGCAGGTGGTCACGCAACATCGCTTAGCCCAGTGGTCGGCAAGCCGCGGCTCGTGAGCCACATGCGGCTCTTTACACGCTTTAATGCGGCTCTTGTGTGCCGGGCACCCGCTCCCCTCCCTCCTCTCGGGCGGCAGGGACTCTGTAGCGTGATCCAAAAAAAAAAAAACAGCAAGGGCAGCGCGCTCAAATGCAATGATTGGCCAGTCTCGCTGCCACTCACATCCTGATAGCCAGTGATTGGCTGTCAGGATGTGTGTAGGCGGGGCAGCATGACGAACGTGAGAAGAGCTAGGCTCCTCTCACAGTCCGCCCTGAAGACCGGAAGGGCGCGGGAATACGGCGAGAGGAACGCGCGGAGCAAAGGTAAGTGGATTGACACAGGGGGGACTTGGCTTACTACTTGCTACTTACTTACTACTACTATATAAGGGATGAATTAATATGGGGGATGAATTACTATAGGGGGGATGAATTACTATATGGGGGATGAATTACTATATTGGGGATGAATTACTATATGGGGGATGAATTACTATATGGGGGATGAATTACTATGGGGGATGAATTACTATAGGGGGGATGAATTACTATATGGGGGATGAATTACTATGGGGGATGAATTACTATATGGGGGATGAATTACTATATGGGGGATGAATTACTATATGGGGGATGAATTACTATATGGGGGATGTATTACTATGGGGGATGAATTACTATATGGGGGATGAATTACTATATGGGGGATGAATTACTATATGGGGGATGAATTACTATGGGGGATGAATTACTATATGGGGGATGAATTACTATATGGGGGATGTATTACTATGGGGGATGAATTACTATATGGGGGATGAATTACTATATGGGGGATGAATTACTATGGGGGATGAATTACTATATGGGGGATGAATTACTATGGGGGATGAATTACTATGGGGGATGAATTACTATATGGGGATGTATTTACTATGGGGGATGAATTACTATATGGGGGATGAATTACTATGGGGGATGAATTACTATGGGGGATGAATTACTATATGGGGGATGAATTACTATGAGGGATGAATTACTATGAGGGGGATGAATTACTATGGGGGATGAATTACTATATGGGGGATGAATTACTATGGGGGATGAATTACTATATGGGGGATGAATTACTATAGGGGGGATGAATTACTATGGGGGATGAATTACTATATGGGGGATGAATTACTATGGGGGATGAATTACTATATGGGGGATGAATTACTATGGGGGATGAATTACTATGGGGGATGAATTACTATATGGGGGATGAATTACTATGGGGGATGAATTACTATGGGGGATGAATTACTATATGGGGGATGAATTACTATGGGGGATGAATTACTATATGGGGGATGAATTACTATATGGGGGGATGAATTACTATGGGGGATGAATTACTATATGGGGGATGAATTACTATGGGGGGATGAATTACTATAAGGGGGATGAATTACTATGGGGGATGAATTACTATGGGGGATGAATTACTATATGGGGGATGAATTACTAATGGGGGATGAATTACTATGAGGGATGAATTACTATGGGGGATGAATTACTATATGGGGGATGAATTACTATGGGGGATGAATTACTATATGGGGGATGAATTACTATAGGGGGGATGAATTACTATGGGGGATGAATTACTATATGGGGGATGAATTACTATATGGGGGATGAATTACTATGGGGGATGAATTACTATGGGGGATGAATTACTATATGGGGGATGAATTACTATATGGGGGATGAATTACTATGGGGGATGAATTACTATGGGGGATGAATTACTATATGGGGGATGAATTACTATGGGGGATGAATTACTATATGGGGGATGAATTACTATAGGGGGGATGAATTACTATGGGGGATGAATTACTATATGGGGGATGAATTACTATGGGGGATGAATTACTATATGGGGGGGATGAATTACTATGGGGGATGAATTACTATGGGGGATGAATTACTATATGGGGGATGAATTACTATGGGGGATGAATTACTATGGGGGATGAATTACTATATGGGGGATGTATTACTATGGGGGGATGAATTACTATATGGGGGATGAATTACTATGGGGGATGAATTACTATGGGGGATGAATTACTATATGGGGGATGAATTACTATATGGGGGATGAATTACTATGAGGGATGAATTACTATGGGGGATGAATTACTATATGGGGGATGAATTACTATGGGGGATGAATTACTATATGGGGGATGAATTACTATAGGGGGGATGAATTACTATGGGGGATGAATTACTATATGGGGGATGAATTACTATATGGGGGATGAATTACTATGGGGGATGAATTACTATATGGGGGATGAATTACTATGGGGGATGAATTACTATATGGGGGATGAATTACTATAGGGGGGATGAATTACTATGGGGGATGAATTACTATATGGGGGGATGAATTACTATATGGGGGATGAATTACTATGGGGGATTAATTACTATATGGGGGATGAATTACTATATGGGGGATGAATTACTATAAAACAGTGGTTCTTAACCTGGGTTCGATCGAACCCCAGGGGTTCAGTGAGTCAGTCTCGCGGGTTCGGCAGAGGTGAAGACCCACACCCGACTCATATGATTCGTGCAGTAAATATTCATTATTATGTTTTTGTTTTTGTGTGAAAATCATGTTTTAATGGTTTTGTTCTTTGTTCTTAACAGTTTTGTTCATTTTGTGCACCTATGTATAAATATATACCTATGTTTTGAATTTTAAAAATCATATTTTATTTTTCCAATTAAGAAGGGTTCGGTGAATGCGCATTTGAAACTGGTGGGGTTCAGTACCTCCAACAAGGTTAAGAACCACTGGTTTAGGGGTACGTTACATATAGAGTGCAGAGTTCAGGGGTGCTCTATGTACAGAGAGTAGTTCCAGGGGTGCCCTATGCACAGAGGGTAGTTCCAGGGGTGCCCTATGCATAAAGTGCAGAGTTCAGAGGTGCACTGCATATAGAGTGCAGGGTTTATGGGTGCACTACATACAGTGTGCAGTGTTCATAGGTGCACTACATACAGAGTGCACTGTTCATGAGTGTGCTATGCACAGAGTGCAGAGTTTAAGATTATGCTATGTACAGAGTGTAGAGTTCATGGGTGCTCTGTGTATAGAGTACAAGGTTTCAGGGTGTGCTATGCACAGAGTGCAACCCCAACTTCAACTCCCCACCCCAAACCATCCTTTCATCTCTATGCTTTCCTAACGAGTGCAGCTCTAGTACCAAACTGTGTAGGAGGCTTTAATAACATTGTAGGCATCGCTGCCTCACCCTGCAGGGAGATCATTCTCTCTGTCTCTGGAGATCTGTCCCCGTCATGCCCCGCCATGTGTGCAGGGATCTGTTAGATTGGGCAGCTGCTGAGAGCAAATCTGTCCCTTGTAAATAGAGATGGCTTCTGTTTTTACAAGTGACAGCAGGAAGAGGAAGTTGAGAGCTGGTGGAATGTAGTTCCACCACATTCTGGCTGCAAAACT